TCTTCCATGGAAACGGACGTGAATAATGCCGTCAATAACCTGAACGGTATCGTAATAGCGTTGGACGACTTCGGCGTTAACCTGGTCGTCTTGACGTGGGCTCATGCTGTCTGTGATCCCGATGAATTCGAGATCCCAGAGTTGGGTAATATCTGGATCGGAACGTTCCTGGACTGCTTCTGTCTCTGAGGTGGTAAGATATGGAAAAATTGTTGAGACATGTGCAGAACTGGAGTGTTTCGAACCGGATACTACTGGTCCAAATCGTGTGTACACGATCATGAGTCCTGACGGTAATCTTCGTGCTCTCGTCGTGTCGACGATTCTCCAATAGTGATCCATCCCAATGAGGACATCTATGTCGATATCTCCATCGGTGACGAGATCGCTATGGTTGCACGAGGAACGTAATAACCGGATCGTATCTTGAGAGATATGAGTTCCGGCATGAATTGACGTAGTAATCTTACGAGTTCTCACCGCGAGTTTAACAGGTATACCCGCATGGTCTCGTAAGACTAGAGAAACACGAGATGAAACTTCAGTTGTCAGATGACCTCCGAAGCTTCGCGTAGTGAGTGGCTGAGAATCTTCAAACGGAAGTCCCAGTCTCGACGCAGTAGCCTCTTTTATGAAGCTGTGTTGTGCGCCGCTATCTAGCAGCAGCACTAACAGTTCCTCTGAGGATGTAATATTATTGCGTGTTCGCGCAGTGACTACCATAAGACGTGGGTCCTGTGGTAAGGACTGCTTGAATGGTCGCAAAACCGTACATTGAACCGTTGGGTCGGATTGATAATCTTCCCCTTCGGTCTCTGTGAGATCTCCAACGTAGAAATCGTCTGAAGCATAAGCCTCGACAGAATTCTGGTTGAAGTCTCGGTCACGGAATTGGACCGCACGCGGATACGGTGAGTTGCGTCTTCGCACAGGTGAAGATTGTCCGTTGCGTCGTGGTGATCTTGCTCGTTCACGATGTGAACGGGGTTGACGGAACGGTTCTCTTCCTCGACTAGGTGATCTAGAAGACCAACTAGACGACCTGCTGCGTCTTGTACGATACGAGTGTCTAGCCGCTTGTCTGCAGAGGGTGATATGATGACCTCCCTGACATGCTGAGCATGCAGGACGGTCACAATCTTCCACTCTATGACGTCGCGAAAAACACTTGAAGCACAAATGTTTGTCTGCGGCGATGCTCCACTTTGCACTAATTGACGTCACACGACTACAATTAGATGCTGAGTGGCGTCTCGATCCGCAGAAGGCACATTGTGCTGACGAATACGGTGTTTGGCGACGCGAACGCCTCGGTGACTGACTCTGACGTCGTGTGCGCCTACCGTTGTACGCATTAGAAGGAGACGAATCCCTTGAAGAAGATCGAGCAAATGATCTGAAAGCCAATGCATGCGATGGTTGATTTCTAGCTGGCGTTGAGTCCTCTACTACCTCGAAGGTCTTGACCACATTGTCAAGCGCTTCAAGGAGCTGAGGTACACCCCACGAGCTCGAATCCTTCGCCTGCAAATAGCCTACTTGCTCTAGCGTCTTCGAAGGAAACTTCTCTCGTATTATGCGCATGACGAAGATGTTCTCGTCATGGTCACCTAGCTTCTTAAGTTGAAGCCATAGCGACTTAACTTGCGCTAACGTAATACGTTGATTGATAGCTGAGTTTGTTGCCGGCTTGAGACTTTCAAGTCGGTTACTCAGTTGCATACGAATGAATTCTGGGCGAAAGTATGTCTCTCGCAACGTATTAATTGCTAGTTCGTAGTTAGCATCCGTAATCTCGTACCCGGCTACCATAGACAATGCTTCGTCCTTCAACGAGGTCCTGAGATAATGGAATTTGACTGTGGGTGGTAAGGTACGGTTCGAGTGAACCGCAGAGTCAAAGATATCCCAGAACTCCGCGAACTTGGCGATGTCTCCGGCGAAGACGGGGAGATCGAATGTTGGCAAACGAACTGCTTGATCATGCAAGGCACGATCTTGAAATGTATTACTGAGGGTTGCTATCCCTTCTCCGAGTCGTGGTTGACTCGAGGTTGGGTTAACAAGTACCTCTGTCTCCGTTCGATCTTGACGTCGATCGTGTTGTTCCTGGAGGAGTTCCTCTTCGGAACGATGCGACGTAAGCTCTGGGACAAACGCAATAGACCTAACTCCTGTAGGAGGTAAGTTCGCTGATGTAGTAGGGTTTTGTTTCTGAAAGGATTGCATCGCTACCTCAAGGCGAGCGAGAAGATCGCTTGCTGCGTCCTCGGCCGCTTCCCCTCCACTGGTTGCCCAGTGGGATAGGTAAGCGTTGACGAGTTCACGGCGCGACTCCTCAGTCTCACGTTGAAGGGCATGACGCAATGCTGCGTCTCGAACTTGATTCGCGAAACTAAATTCACGAGTCAAGATGCGATGCGCAACTGCAAGGGCCTTATCACGGTCCTTGAGCTGCACAGCCGCCTCGTCCGGATCTTCAGCGAGCTGGACGTCCTCCAGAAGTGAAGGAGAGGTGTTATCCACAGCTCGTTGGAGATTCTGGATTGCACGAAGTAATTCGTATTTCCTCAAATCTTCCATCAGAAGGCTAATCGTAGACAAACGTCGATTAGAATGAGAGTTGCCAATCGATGTTCGCCTATCAGTCAGTTTCCCATGGAGCGAGGATTACGGTACTGTCTCGCCTCGTACTATTTCTCTGCTTTCCCATGAGCGTGCATGAGAGAGTGGTACCTTTCCACGCCGAATCGGATCGATCGGTGCCGTTAAGCCTGGGAAAGTGCTTAATTGCTCCAATATCGATTCGCTCGTCGTGGGAAAGTCCGATGGATGTCTCTTTCATGACGTGTCGATTGGGAAATGGAATAGAAACGAGGGATCGACGGAATAGGGACCGAAAAACACGGAACCAACGGAGTAGGGACCGAAAATCGGATCCGACGGAATATAGAACGGATTAAGCTTGAGAGACGAGGATTTTGCTCGTCTTCTCGAGGGGAACGGAATAAAGGTAGGAAAACTTCAAAAACGAAATAAATTACGCAAACAAGCTGGAACTGGGAGGAGTGGGCAGTGGTGAGTATAATACGTGATATCTAACCTAAGGGTGGGAAAAAGGGACTAAACTACAACTACAAGGAATTGAACCCCTACGTACTAATTGTGGGGAGACCCTAGTTACCTGGAAAGGCCGGAGGGCTGAGTACAAGCCGATGGTTTACCTTTTAAAGGGCGCTGAGGGCACAGATCCAGGTAGGCCTTTTGTTAGTCCACAGGAGGTCTTTCGAGCCTCTCTTCTGGGGCAGCTTACCCATGGTGCACCATAAAGTAAGCCCTGCGCTGCTCGCGCCACGCGCCGCTTGACCTTCCACTCTACGACTTTTTGAAGGCGCCCGGCTTCAACACCGCGGCTGACGACGACCCTCGCCCGCATACTCTCCATCCCCACTGGACATCTCGAGAGCTGGTCCACCTACTTCCCGCACGGAAGCTGCACCGGTGCGACCGCGGCGAGCTACTCTAGAGGCCTCCTGGAGACTAACTCCGGGCTTCCCCGAGCATCCTGGTCCCAGGAGAGGAATCTAGGGCCCTATGGGCTTTTAGGTGGCAGGTTGCCACAGTCCTGCCGGACTAAAAACCCAATTCCTCTCCCGCCAGTTCGCATCCCGGGTTAGGATCGATGCACCCACCGTCCGAAGTACGGCAAAAAATGGGGGAAGGCGCCTCCAGTAGTCGAATGCCCTGCCAAGTCCCCCTGTGGGACCACCGGCTCCGGCATGGCTGATGGGTCGGGTGCGGACAGTGGTAGCTGGCCGTCCCCTACCCGGTTCCTGGTCTCGAATTTGGAACCGAGCGGGTCCGTTTCGACGGTCCGATGCACCATGTCGCGAACGGTGTGTATGCTCCCCGACACTCGACCTCCCGCCGAGCTGCCCATCAGCCCACCACGCTGCCTCCTGAGCGCCCACCAGGAGGAGCGGACCCAACTTCCCCCCGGGGACACAGGGGGCGCCCGTCGGCAGCTCAACCTACTCACTAGTGGCCGACGGGCTGACCTAGGTAAACAGCCCTACTAAACCCGAGTGACACACAACAGACCGATATAATTAGGGTAAACCCACATATAATACATAGAAAACACAATTACATTTACTAACATTTATTATGACGTAGTAACTCACCATACTCCTCGAACTCCCGGGGTCACCTCTCTCAGAGGTGAGCCCCACCAGCTGACTCGACGTATTAGACCCCCACGTTGGCTCGGCTTCTTCTGGGGGCTCCATGCGGCCGACGTGTCCTATCTGGGATGTTGTAAGGGCTGCTCCCAGACGGGGAGCAGGGGAAGGACACGACCGGCTTTGGGATGACAGGCGCTCCGCCAACATGGACTACGGAGCGACGTGCCCCTTCGCCTTAGCTGGCCTCATCGCGTTGCCCGGTGAACACCGACCTGCCACCGGTGGCCAGCTCCTACGAGCACCGCCGCTAGGACGGTGCGCGTAGCGCCGACTAACTGGCCTCGACCGCAGGGAGGCGGGGCCAATGGCGCTGGAGCGCGTTGGCAACCGAGCGCAAGTGGGCCGGGGCGCGCGGTGCGCCCAGCGGGCCACCGTCGCATCCGCGACACATCAAAAAGGAGGTGAGCTAACCCAGCTTCTTTATTCTCTATCTTTTTGTTAACGTTAAAATCAATCAGTGATGCTTTAGATGGTCCTCCGATTGGTGATATACTACGAGACGCGTTGTACAAAAGTAAAGTTCCACGATATGATCAGAATTTATTACGAGGAGTACGACGGTAGGTTTGCCCGTGTGAACACCGCGTTTCTCGCCACTAACAACAAGTTTAAGGATGGCTTATCAAACTCTCAGTGTGCAAAGTAATCCTTCCGCCGAAGAAGAAGCGAGGAGATTCGTACAGAAGTACTCTTCTAAAGGAGAAGTGAGTCGCTATTTCTCTTGTTTTCTACCGTCCTCTGCTAGTTGATATTTCATAACCGTGATCTGGTCGAACGAACCCATTGACTTTATATGGATTTTGCACGAACTAGCTTACATAGAAGTACTGTATGCCAATAAAAGAGCGAAGCTGTTCATTGCCTGTAAACAAGAGAGCGATTGAGTTGATCTGGCTCTGACTAGCTTTCATGTAGGATGATAATCTGCGAGCATATAAGGTGTGCAAAGTCCTACGTTGGTGGCAATCAAATATGGCCGTGTGATTACCAAGATATTAATCTTTTAATGTCTCTAGATTTATTGTGGGTCAGCACTTCTGCAACCTTACCTCTATAGGTTTCCTATACCACGTCCTTTTCTTTCATGTGGTTTCTAGATAATTTTTGACATTTCTGCATCGTAAACCTACTATTTCCAGGAGTCCAATGTAACTCGGCGTCCTCGAGGTCGTCCACGGAAGTATCCGTGAGCACGGGAAACCTTTCGCGTTTGTTGTAAATTATAAGAAAATAAATTTGATGTGGTTTTTCATCATATGTGATATGTGGTCTACTGAAATGGTGTATGTACTCAGTCTTTCATCACAAAGCTAGTTGTAGTAGGCTCGGCGCTAGATCCAGTTTTCTGTGATAGTTTGTTCCTGCATAGATTCCGCTGTAAATCTACCGGAGTTATCTCATGCGAATACATTGGTCAGAACTGAGCGCTTTTGCGTGAAATGGTATTCGTGTTCTCCAGAACTTGCAGAATGTGATTTGATACTTTTCATGGGAACAGTAGTTAGTTTAGAAGTAATTGGACCACATTAGGCATAGCCTTTATTTACTTCAATGTATATAGCTTGGATGTTTCATTAATTAATCAATAAATGCCATTTTTGTCTTCGTTATCCCATTCAACTCTGATTTTTATACCTGAAAAACTTTCATCACGAGAACTATTGAACGCTTTGTGATTTCAAAAAGTCAAATGAGAAATACGAAAAAGAGAAATTTTGGGGAGAAATATGAAAGAGAAAAAATTTTGGGCTCTGGTCTCATCGTAAGCACGTAGAAATTGGATATTATTCTTAAGGACACATTCCACCATTCTACATTAAAGTAGGTCATCCCGTGTACAAAGGGAAGCAGCTGTGGTGGTTGGTTCATCAGTGGTGGAAAAAAGCAAAAAATACTAACAGTCCTTTTAGTAGTAACAGTGCGATGTGATGATGGGAACAGGGTGCGCTCCGCGCCCTGCAGAGAAACACATATATATAGATAGACGTCATCTGACCGCAATATTTACACATCTTACAGTAATGGAGGAGGCGCTACATATGAGGGGCAGTGCGGACGGGGCACAGATCCCGTCCTTACTATCCGAGCTCTCTGTGATTTTGAAGGGTTTTTCATTTTTTTTTGCCTACATGTACGCTCATTTTCCAGCGCATCAGCTTCTACCTATTAAATCGGGAATGCGCCTTTGGGTACACATTGTAAGGGCTAAGAACAATGTTCGAATTAATCAAAATTTGAACAGCCCACAAAAGACAAGATCAGGACTTTGTTAGGATTGAGAATTCCGCGGAAACCACAAATTGAATGGCCGAACTTTTGCTTGCCCTAGCTAGAGCTAGGATAGGATACGGCCCCACAAAACAGTCCTTGTCGGTACGGAAGATTTCTCTGGCTGCTGCTCAAGTCGGTGATATTGGCGAAAACGCTCCGAAATTTTCCTTGCCTGAAGACCGGTCTATGACGAGGTAGTAGGCATGGAATTTTAACATGGCCCGAGACACGGAAGGGAGGCCTGTCAACGGTGGGCGAGTGTACTCCAAACTAGGCGGTGCTGAAGACAGAAAATCCGACATTGGTCCGGGAACTGTCCAGGTACCGGGAAAGGAATGTGTAAATTTGAACCATCGGTTGACAATGAGATGAATGAGACCTAAGCGCAAATGTCAAAAGCCAGTTTCAAGTGTGAAACCAACACTCTTTCAAGGTTGGTCCTTTTTCCTCACTTGAATTTGGGCTTTATAAGCAGAAGTGGTGGTTGTGTCTTTCTTCTTTCCTCCTACTTTTTTCTTCCCGACATTCTGTAATGTCAGAATTTGGATATGAATTCACGTCTTTGTTCATTAACTCTGCCAAATGCCCGTGATCCTTTTGAGGATGAAAACAGCCGCGACTACCGTATTCTACCCGAAATCTCGCAAAAAACTTACAGAATTTTTTAAAAGTTTCATAAAATCCGTTAACACAGCTTTACTCCTATGTCATCCTTTAAGTGGAACGAAACAAACGAAAATGCCGATTTTAATACCACTCGTTTCCCTTCCCCCCGTTGACGAATTCTCAATGGAAGCGCCGCATATCAGTTGGGACCGGGCGATAGGACCACAACACTGAACCACCTGGAAGCGCCGCATATCCAACAGAGCAATACAAAAACAAAACAGACTAAAATTCATTTGATCATACTTACAGGCTACCTACACTTGTGCATGTTTTTGATTATTGACTGCTGTTTTTCGCCAGTTTTCCCCATGCGAAAATTCTTGCAAGAAGCGCTGGGTTTAAAGGAGGATTGCACGGAAAGAACGAAGGTCGAAGAAGGGAGAAATCGCCTAGTGGGGAGAGCGGTGAATCTCTTGAGGGTGCGGACAGACACGCAATCGGCATCGAAAGATTTGACCTCTGAGATCTAGCATGGCTCAAAGTTGGCGAGTTCGGCGATCTCCGCCCACCGATCGTCTGATCACTCGCCGTAGTACAATAGGTGGCGAGTGATTAGATAGCTGAGAGAGCGTAGGGTTGAAGAGGGCAAAGCGATGAGAGTCCCATCAATGCTCAAATCAACGGACAAGGAAGGGGTCCCATTTCTCCGGTTCTGGGCCGTTTTTCGTGGTTTCGCTTTCTTTCTGGTACTACTCACCATCTCTACCTCAATTTGGAATGGGTTGCTTTTCCATCGTAAATTCGTCCTTTAAGTGGCAAAATTCTTGCCTCAGGGAGGGTGAACCCGCACCTCCTCAAGCTCAGTCTCGCGATTCACAGCCAATGTTGGCTAATCGGCTCGACATTGTAAGTGGTGGTCTGATAAACTGCAGCAGTAGAGAGGATGGCACGATTAAATGAGTTGCCGAGGTCGCAACAATGGAATAAACATGTTGCAGATGTGCGGCTCTACGCGGCGCAATGCGCGTTCGCACCCAAGGGATGTCCACGCGCATCTATGTCATCCCCATGCCGCTCGAGCCGCTGTCTCCCAAACCAGGGTCAACCCTACGTTGTTACGAGTAACAACGGGGGGGTCGTACTCAGTTGAGCTTGGAGGGAGGGGGGTCGTACCCTCTCGGTGGCCGACAGTGGGATTCTTGGTAATATCGGATAATAGCCAGCACGTTACGTTTTCGTAAGATGACTGATACAGCATCTATAAACCACGATTCCCTCTAAATGAGCTTTCAAATGAATCAGCGAATTAGAAGGGCGCCCGAGGCGTGGCGCGCACCAAGGCAAGGGATGTAGTGCAAGCGCATGCTCGGAGCTTTCTAGCACATCCTTAATTAAACATAAAATTGGTCTTCCAAGAAGTTACGGGCAGTGAAACCTAAGAAAACTCGCGTTTTCGAGAAAATGGCTTGAAGAATACCCCACAAAATAAAAAGTAACAACGGGCTAATTTTTGAACTGCTGATCTTTTCTTTCAGAAACGCTTGGGTGGCTCGTTAGAAAGCTTGAAACCTGTGGTTTATTACACCGTGTTCAGCTTCCCAAATGAATGACTTTGAAGGAAGTTATGATCGTTTGAAGGTCAAAAAGTCGCGGTTCCAAAAAAATAGTAACGCAAACCCCCAAAAAAGTAACAACGGGACTAATTTTTGAACTACTGATCTTTCAGGAACGCTTGGGTGCTCCTTAGAAAGCTTGAATCCTGTAGTTTATTATACGTGTTCAGCTTCCCAAATGAGTGACTTTGAAAGAAGTTATGATCGTTTGAAGGTCAAAAAGTCGCTTTGCACAGAAAAAAGTAACAACGTACTAAATTTTTATTAAATTAACTTTCGAAGAATTTTTACCCATGGTTGGAGAGAGAATAATTTGAATTTTCCAAATCAAATCACTTCGGCGCAGAAGCTCGAATATGAAGGAAGTTATAGCCTTAGAAAGAGGGGTGTAAAAATTGTGTTGCAATTGAAGAACGTGAAGGATTTCAGTATTTCAATTGGAGCGATAATTTTTTCTGACTTCTTATAAGTTTTTATCAGGTAATGTTGTCAATATTACGGTCACTGGTTCAGCTTATTTCATCTCCTAGTTTGGTAACCCTTTGGAGTACACGGATATCTTTGAATGCATCTCATTTTTTCGTGTTTGGAAGCAGCGATGAATATCTGTCGTGGATTTTGCTAAAGTTTCATCTTTGATGACTTACGTAGAAATAAATATTGATGGTAAACACTGTCTCTACACAAGTGTCACATACACAAGGGGGGTCGTATCAAATCACCCATGAAGGGGGGGGGGGTCGTAAAAAATTTCCGAAGAGTAACAACGATAGGGTTGACCCTGCTCCATACCCTTGCTGCGAACCTGATTTCATATGAGAGAGGTTCCGTGACAAGGCAGCACGATACCACTGCAGACAAGGAAGGGGTGCCATTTTGCAGGGTCTGGACCATTTCTCATGTTTTTTCTTCATTCCTGCACCACTGACCACCTTGACGATGGTCTCAAATGGGCTGCTTTTTCAGGGATAAAAAATCCGAGTAATGGGTCCCTTACTTTGCCCGTTTCCCTCATGATGCAGTTCTCAACGATGTTACCCTCATCATCGCTAACGCTCTCTCTGCTCAACAGCTTAGTTCGAACGAGCGAGGAGTGTCGGGTAGACAGCAGCGCGGGTATCACAGTATGGCCCTGCTAAGCCGCTGGGAACATACGCTCGCCGTGAAACGCCCATCGTTTCGCCACTCAGGGGGCCCATGTACTTTCGACTGAGTATATACCCTCTCTTCGTTCGACTTATGAATCTGTCGTGGAATCCTTCATTGAATATATCATTTGAAGCTGAGGCAAGATGATGTGACGCCCTTGTGGCATGGTCCGTATCACAACTGCCCGGATAAGCGAAGACGCGGAACTTCCGAGTCTGCCCGTGGCAAAGTGTTTTTGCCCATAGCGCCTGCAACCCGTGATGTCAACATTCCTAATATCTACTATTTATCTTGAAATGATTTGATCTTGTGAAGAGTTGTTGAAAGTGATAACGCGGTGTGTTCAGTTAGCTAGGGATGCGTTACATGTGTGACTTACATTCGGAATGGTGTAGGGTCTAAGGTGTACTGGTCCCCCTCAGGGTGATTGTCCAAACCTGGGCTTTGCTCGTGTATGGCGACGTTTCGGCCCTCCTTGCGTGTTCGACGTCACACCAATCGACTTGCTGTGTGCTGATGGATCGTACTTGTACTCCTTTGATTTCCCCTTTGCGGCCTGATACTTAGAGCGGGCTGGCTGAATCAAGAAATTATGCAATAATACCGTCACTCTATGAATGTACCTACTCCTAACGCAATTGCTGGGCTCTCAATTCACATTATTATCATCCTCTTTGATTGTGACGGAAGCATTTCAACGTGAACGCCCGCCCAGCCCGGGGCGCACGTTGATGAAAGCTCAGGCCGGGTTATCTTTTGAAAATGTGGCACACTCCACGAGGTAGATGGTGATACATGCTTTGATCATAGTTGACTATCATTTGTTCCAGGTTCATTGCCCACTGAGACCGCACGAGTGAGACTCAGGGGCCATGATCTCCCAACTTATGCTTGAACTACCGTGAACTTAACGTCTCCCCCCCCCCCAACAAAAGAACTACCCTGAGGAACAGGGCTTCGTTTGCAAACAGTTCTTTCAAACTAATGTAGCAAGTAATGACGGGAAAAGTGCTGAGTGAAGGTCGTTGCCAATAAAAAGAACCTAACTAAGGTTAAAAGAAGGTCCGCCTCTCCATTTTCGATCAACCGAAACTCAGCTGTTTGGCCTCCACTCGCTGAAAAAGCACCCAACTAAGGTTCTAATTCAATCCAAGGAGGGCGATTAATCTCTTCGCACGCCCAGACTGATTGTGAATACCACAATTTTCAGAAAACGTACCTCTTTGGACATGTAGCCCGTGTGACTGACAGTATCCATAGTATTTGCCGTCGTCGGCTAAAATACGCACAATCTTGGATTTGCATAGGTCTTTGAGTTTTGACATACATTGAATACACAGCAGCTTGAGCTACAAGAACTTAGCTAGCGGCCACTATGCGGACGCGCGCCTAGTTTACCGGATATGCGGACATTAGTCATTTTTTAAACCAACTATCCAGCTAGGGTGAACTCAAAAGGTATTATCCGAAGGCCTCCAAACGCAGGCCACGAGAGAAAGTAAATGTTCTGGTAAAAATTCTTTATCTTGAAGCTATCGTAGATTCTCCGCAAGCACTAGCAACTACTCGTTGAGGATCCTTCTGATGAAATTTTCACTAAATAAGAGTTGCTTCTGACCTTGAGATAAGCAAGCGAGGTCCTACTAGGGAAAAAATGAAGCCCACTCCTGCCCACTTGTGATTTTTAATCCTGTTGATAATCGGCAAGGCTTATAGGCCTCAAATCGGGTATCTTTAGAAAGACCATAACTCACATTGTAGGATTTGTCCTTATCTTTGTCTTTATCGCCCGGACTGGTTATTTCTTCTAGGTGTCGTCCTTGTGACGGAATTTGTCGCATACAATCCTTTCTCTATAGACTTCAAGGCCATCTGAAGCAGAACACCTGCCCCCAAATTCACTCAACACGTAAATATCTACTGCTCACTTCTTCAGTGATTTCCTCCAAACCGTCCAGGAATCTGCAACAACTGTTCCAGCGTGATCGCAGTTTGATCTCTTGAGATGACTCTCGGTCTGAAATCCTCAACATGCTTCGGGGATCAATCCAACCAGAAGTCGGCTTACAATGTGCAGCGGTTCCAGCTATAGAGGATCGCCATGTTGATCCTGTTTTTCCCAATTTCGAAGTTTCATAAGTCAATGTGAAATTTGTTCTTTTTGAACGCTTGAAGAAGCATATTACGCAGGAGTTCGTAATCTGTATGAAGTTGACATTATGAATAGATTAGTATGAGTTGGACAGATTAGGGTGAAGAGGCCCACACACATAGTCTGATGGTCAAATCTAGCCAAGGACAGCAGAGCCACCCATCCCCCGGATCTGGGAAAGGGATCAGATGCAGCAGATTGGAGCGAAGTTCCTGTTCGGAGGGGGTAACGGAGAGCAATCCCTGTTATTTGATCCTTAGTACTGGAGAGCACTCCTTTGGTTTTAAACTTTATTGATTAGGTGAGATAATAGTAAGTGACTCATTTTAAGTATAGTACTTACTTTTGATATGGACGCTACTGATTGCCCTAACATCACATAGCAGCTTGCCTCACATCCTACAGTTCCCATCATTATCGTCAGCATACAGTCGAGGAGAATGATGGAGTACCCCCTCCCTCCCCCTCGCACCCTCCCCCCAAACTTCACCCTGATTGGTTGAATGGCAATATCAAAATGATCTGTCGAAACTTTTTCCGCGTCTTCACCCTCGATAAGCTGACGGCGCGAATGTGATTTTGAGATTGCTTTTATCCGCGCTAAATCGACTGGTCTGCCATAACCTAATACGGTGATAGAAAATCTAACGCTGACCTGGAGCAGTGGCATAGCTGAGCTGTTTCAAGTGAAGGTATAGAACGCGAAACTCCGATCGGGCATTTTTCGAGACGTGGGCACCTTCCTTCTGCGATCTATTTCGCGTTCGAGTGGACCCATGCATCGGGCATATTTTTCCTGAGAATGACATGAAGTAAACGTTCGAACAAGGGTTTCCATAAAACTCTGGCTGCTGTGAACATCTAGATTCATGAGCCTTCTTTTTCTTGTTTTATTTTTTGTCGCAGAGATATAGAGTAAAAGGATAGCATGCGGCCGCTAACGCAGATATGGGCTCTCCAATAATGAGCCTTAAGGGAATGCGGATATCTACGAGAATGAAAACTTACACACGCACCCTGAAGTCTCTCCTCCTCCGCTTCAGGCTTAGTCTCAGCTTCAACAAGGAGGAGATGAGTTACGCGATTTCCAGATGCCTTTCACCACTTTGCCCCGTATCTTGCTACAGCGCCAAGGATTGAAATTGGACCACTTCTTGCGATACGCCGCATATTCTACTTCCACTCGTAATTGTAGTGGCAGTTGAATATAACTGCCATGCGCTTGAGGGTCAGTTGCTGTGCAGCTCAGTGTTTTGAACCTCCAGGGGGCCAATGCAACAACGGCTCTACATGTGAGTGGCCTGAGGCTACTATCTCGACATGAGTGAAGTGCTGAGAGACGTTGGGACCAACTGCAGTCGCCTTACACTTTTATAGTCTTCGGAAGGAGTAGTTCAAGAGGTGATTGTCAGCGCTAAAGGTGTCATGAGGCAATGTCGGAACCCATTTATGGTTTCTCAATTAAACAAGCCAGGTATTTTTGATTGTTGGATCCATCCCGAGAACTGTGTGGTTTTATACTTTTTCAAGAAAACCAGTTTTGCTGCGCCCGCTATCGCGCACATCACAGGGTAGGGAGGAACCACGGAATGGCGGCATGTATGCTACTTAACCACCTCACTATTGAATGTGTTATACCTCTATATACCCCTCCTCTCCGGCGCATGGCAACACCATGTTCTCCTCCCTCTCTCCTCTCCCCCTTCGCATCCAACACCTTCGACCTCCGCGACTCCAAACCAGGGTCAAGCGTGCGTTGAGGAATCCTCGACATGTCACAGAGGGGGGGTCGTATTGGCCCGCTGGGGAGAGATCGGGCCCGATTGATACAGTAGGATCATCGTCGGAGGACAAACATTAAGGATCGAATCGATACCAGGCCAGAGTATTTCCAATAACAATTGATTCCGTCCACACAAAATCTTCGTGATTTAGAGGTGTCCGCTTAGCAATTCTTAGTGACTTTAGTGTTTCATCACCACACAAGTCAAAGGATCCGAAATTCGCACGTTTTCTAGGGATATTTTATCTTTCAAGTAGGTCCTCAAATCCAACGAGATGTGAAGCACACGGCGCATCCCAGAGTGGGCCCAGTTGGTTGCGCGCGCTTCAGCTACGGCTATCTTGATAACGAATCTTAATTCAGGAAGAATCAAGAGGGTTCTGAAAGAGTTCATGTTAAATTACAGAGAGGAGTACACTATTCAACAAGAAACGCAGCCTTCAGCGTCAAATTCACAAGCATGTAACCTTTAAAGTTGAGACCCGCTAAACAATTTTACACTTTTTGCAGAGAGAAAAGCACGAGGATTTTGAATCTGCTCCTACTTCAGTATGTAATCGCTCCTGCAAGGAGCTATAGTCGTTGGGATAGTGCTAATGTAGCGAAAAAGTACCTTTCGGCGGTACTCGGGCAAAAATCCTCAACGTGGCCATTTTTTAAATAGTGAACGTATTTAGCAGTTTTAGTTGCCTATAGAAAGAGCAAATCTTCTAGTTTATGATGACGTATTAACTTTCCAGATTGCATGAGTTTGAACGGAGTTATGGCTTTGGAAAGCGTAAAAACTCGCACTCATCACGAATTTTCCTCGTTAATTTTGCAAAATGTAGAAGTCATCCACGACTTCTACTCGGATCTCTTCGATAGCCATGTCCATCTGCCTACTTATCAACTGCAACAGGATGGATACGTCGTCCCCTCAGTTCTCTCTTCCGAAGTCCGACACGCCATCAAGTCGGTGAAGAATTGTACAGCACCCGGTCTCGACAGGGTTAAACCGGAACATCTGAAGAATGCACCGCCAGTTATCATCAAAACTCTGGCTCGACTCTTCACGCGCTACCTGTCGGAATGCAAGGTACCCACTCCGTGGAAAACCAGCAGGACCGTGTTGCTGTACAAGAAGGGAGACTTGGACGACATTGGCAACTATCGCCCAATCTGCCTGCTGTCTGTAATCTACAAACTCGAGTCATCCTTAACAGGATCGGCAGAATACTAGATGAAGGACAGCCATGCGAGCAAGCAGGGTTCCGAAGAGGGTTCAGCACGATCGACCATATCCACACGGTTACAAGACTCATTGAAGTTTCACGAGAGTACAAGATGCCGCTTTGTCTCACGTTCATCGACTTGAAGAAGGCCTTCGACTCTGTGGAGACAGAAGCGGTCATCGAAGCCTTGGGCAACCAGGGCGTCCCTACTCAGTACATCAAGATTCTTCGTGAGCTCTACAGCAACTTTACGACCAGAATCTCACCATTCTACAAGGAGGTCATCATCGACGTCAAGAGAGGGGTTCGACAGGGCGACACCATCTCGCCCAAACTCTTCAGCGCCGCTCTCGAGAACGTCATGCGTCAACTGGAATGGGAAGACATGGGAGTGAAGGTCGACGGCCGGCAACTACACCACCTTCGTTTTGCTGACGACATCGTTCTTATAACGCCGAACATCGAGCAAGCGGAGCGAATGCTGGCTGATTTCGACTGCGCCTGTGGTAAGGTCGGTCTACAGCTGAACCTAACGAAGACGATGTTTATGAGAAACGGATTGGTTCCTGATGCCCCATTCACGCTCAACGGAACGAACATCACCGAATGCTCCAGCTACGTGTACCTAGGTCGGGAAATCAATATGATGAACGATCTAGCTCCAGAGCTGAGCAGGAGGAAACGAGCGGCTTGGGGAGCGTACAAGAACATCGAGGGAGTAGTGAAGAA